CCCCCCCCCCCCCCCCCCCCCCCCCCCCCCCCCCCCGGGCAGGGCAGGCGTTCAGGGCCCTCTCGCTCAGCCCTCCCAGCTGCCATTCACTTAACAAACCTCCTGCCCCGCCAGAGCAAGAGAAATGGCTCGTGCACCCTGGAGGCAATGCAAAGAGCACTGGACTGAGAGTCCATGGTTCCGCCTGCATGATCTAGGGCAGGTCACTCCACCTACCCGATCCTCAGTTTCCTTAACAGCAAATGAAGACAACAGTGATAGTACCTCCTTCATGGGTGTAAATGAGACCGTAGATGTGATGAAGGTGATTTTATAAAAATTAAAATGCAATATGAAAGCTAATTAATATTAAAGGATGAATGACTGATAGCCCAGCAGCTTTCCAAAGGTATTTGGAAAGAGGATGCGTTCATTCAGTGGTAGAGTCAAAGACACAGAAACTGCCCATCAGAACATGTGATCACCAAGAGCTCATAATGAATGGAAATTCCAGACCCTCAAAGGCCACAAAAGAACACAGCTTGGTTTTCCCTATTCATCCTGATCAGTCATTATTTCTTTAGTTTGTTAGTATCTTGCAGAAACCTGAGATCCCTCCTTTCTGCTTTCCAGGAATCCAGGCTGCTCTATCTCTGGTTAGGCAAGGACTGTCATCCTAGTAATTAAGGAATTAAGACAAATAAAGAACAAAGACGCAAATAAAAAAAATAGCCAAAAAAAAAAAAACTACCTGCCCTCTAGTGTGGTCTATGACAATAGGGACCAAAAAGAAACAATAAATAAGAATCATTCAAAGGAACAGACAGAAAATATAATTGATCCAAGGTTCTGCTGAAATTGAGTTGAGAGAGCTTTGCCAATCTTTTTTGGTAGGTTAATCCTGCCACCTTGCTTGCAGAACTTTATGAGGCCTGGGTTATAAATCCAGCAATTTTTCCTTAAAACCTAAGTCATGTAGATAATCCTCCTTCCTGCCCAAAACCCGCCCAAAGAAATAAAATGGTCAATAAACATAGGAGGAGGGCGCCTGGGTGGCTCAGTTGGTTAAGCGACTGCCTTCGGCTCAGGTCATGATCCTGGAGTCCCTGGATGGAGTCCCGCATCGGGCTCCCCGCTCAGCGGGGAGTCTGCTTCTCCCTCTGACCCTCCCCCCTCTCATGTGCTCTCTCTCTCTCATTCTCTCTGTCTCAAATAAATGAATAAAATCTTTAAAAAAAATAAACATAGGAGGAAATAGTTTGTCAAAGAAAGGCAGGTTAAAGAGATGGAAACATTCCATCAACCAAAATGGGCTGATTTTTATTATTATTAATATTATTTTTAAAGATTTTATTTATTCGACAGACAGAGACACAGCAAGAGACGGAACACAAGCAGGGGGAGTGGGAGAGGGAGAAGCAGGCTTCCCGCTGCACAGGGGGCCCGATGCGGGGCTCGATCCCAGCACCCTGGGATCATGACCCAAGCTGAAGGCAGACACTCAACGATTTGAGCCACCCAGGCGCCCTGGGTTTTAGCTTTTAAATGGTAGAAAAAAAATAATATTTTCTTTCACATGAAAATGACAACGAAATTCAAATTTCACTGTGCATAAATAAAGTTTTATTGGCACACAGCGATAACCCCTCAGCTATGCTTCGTCTATGGCTGTCCTTATGCTACAGTGGCCAAGCTGAATAGTTGTGGCAGAGACCATACAGCTTGCAAAGCCAAAAATATTTACCATCGGGTCCTTTTCAGAAAAAGTTTGCCAAGCCCTGGCCCAAGACGATCAGGGGAAACAAACATTCACAGCACCCACTGGGGGTTAGGCCCTGGTACTGGGCATTCGGGAGGAGCTGCGTTGTTCCTGGTTAAGGAGGGGTGTGAGAGGGATATTAACAGCCAGGTGCTTTGCAAGCTGATTCTCAAGTAGCTTCATTGTGACACTTGTGAAGAAAACCGTTAGCACGCTGGCAAGGCCTTTCTCACATTAGCTCCCTTTGCATTTTTCATAGTCCCACGGTTCTCCTACAGGGCTGCTTGGGGCCGCAGGTGTCTTGCAGGGGATGCTGAGAATGTTTTCCAGGGGCTGGCTGTGGCCCAGGATGGAGCTCCTTCCAGAAAATCATCTTTGAGAAGGGAAATGAGGGCAATGGAGCATGAAGCTCTTCGGGTGCTAGCAGTCTGAGCAGGAAAGGCCCTTAGAGATCGGCCACCCATTGTACAGAGGAGGAAACTGAGGCTCAGAGATGGGGATGAATTTGCCTGGAGCCAGACTAGAATGTGTGTACCTTATTTCTTAGGTCTGTGCTTTCCACACTTCCTGCTCACAAAATAGAATAGAGATATCACAGAGGGCATTTGGATGTGACGGAAAGGGGACTGGCCGGGGACTTGTAGTGAATTCCCAGTGGTTGTGTGACATTGCACAAGTCATTTACCCCCTCTCAGTCTCTGTGTTCTCATTTGTGAACTGAGCAATTAAAGTGCCTACCACAACATCCGTATGTAAAAGAATGAATTTGGGCCCTTACCCCACACTGTACACAAAAATTAACTCATAATGGATCAAAGACCTAAATATAAGACCTAAAACTATAAACCTCTTAGAAGGAAACACAGAGGTGTTCCATGACTTAGGATTTGGCAATGGCTTCTTAAATATGACACCAAAGCAGATAAATTGGAATTCATCAAAATCAAAAGCTCATTTGTGCATCAAAGGACATCATCAAGAGAGTGAGAAGACAATCCACAGAGTGGGAGAAAACATTTGCAGATCATATATCAGAAAGGAATCTAGGATCCAGAATATATAAAGAATTCTTACAACTCAACAACCAAAAGACAACCGATTCAAAAATGGGCAAAGGACTTGAATGGACCTTTCTGCAAGGAAGACATACAGAAGGCCAACAAGCACATTAAAAGATGCTCATCATCATCGGTCATTAGGGAAATGCCGATCAAAACCCCCCTGAGATACCGTAACCTCACGCTCCCTGGGACAGCCATAATAACAAAATGTTAAATAGGAAGTGTTGGCAAGGATGTGAGAAATTGGAACCTCATACCCTGCTGGTGGGAATGTAAAAATTGACCATGTTGGGAAACGGTCAGGCGGTTCCTCAAGAAGTTAAACACAAGTCACCATAGGACCCAGCAATTCCACTCCTAGGTAGATATCCAAAAATTGAAAGCAGCTGTTCAAACAAAAACTTGTATATGAATGTTCATAGCAACACTACTTACAGTGGTCCCAAAGTGGAAACAAGCCAGATGTCCGTCAGTGGACTAATGGACACATTGCTGTACGTCTATTCGGTGGAGTATTATTCAGTCATACACAGAAATGGAGCACTGCCACATGCCACAACGTGGATGAACCCTGAAAACAAAAGACCATATACTGTGTGGGTCCAGAATGAAATATCCAGAATAGTAAATCCACAGAGACAGAAAGTAGATTAGTGGTTGCCAGGGGCTGGGGGTGGAAGAAATGGGGGACTAGTAGTAGAAACGGGGTTTCCATTTGGGTTGATGACAACGTTCTGGAACTAGACAGGGGTGATGGTTGCACAACACAGTGAATGTGCTTAATGCCACTGAACTGTTCTTTAAACTTTAAAGAACCATTTTACTTTAAAATGGTAAATGTTGGGGCGCCTGGGTGGCTCAGTCGGTTGAGTGTCTGACTCTTGATTTCAGCTCAGGTCATGATCTCCGGGTCGTGGGATCGAGCCCCTCAGTGGGCTCTGCACTCAGCAGGGAGTCTGCTTCTCTCTCTCTCTTTTTTCCTCTCTCTCTGCCCCTCCCTCTGCTCACGCTTTCTCTCTCAATTAAATAAATCTTTAAAAAAATGGTAAACGCCATGTTATGTGTATTTTACCAGAACAAGAAAAACGTGTCTAGCACAGTAGGTCACTGTTTGGGGTAAATGACAGGAGTTCATCCCTGGCCCCTGGTGGATGTCCACACTTGGCAGCTGTTGTTATTAACCAGCTGCCCCAAGAGACCTGCCCGATTGCGTGAGGTTGCCCAGAGCTCACTCATTCGCTCGTTCAGTAATTCATCTGTACATTCCCTCAGCCAGGCAGCAAATAAGCAGTTAGCATCTCCTCTATGCCTGGTGCTGAGCCGTTCTAGGCGTTGGGGATTTGAGGTCCCACCTCCATGGAGTTTCGATCCCGGTGCTGGGAGACAGAGTATAAGAAAGGCAAATGTGAACTAAGGAAACTAATTTCTGACAATAAGTGCTTTGGGGGGAAATGAAAAGTAGGATGAAGTGCCCAGAGTCAGAGCAAGTACAACAGCCATGATGACCAGGGGGTCACCTGGAAGGATGTGACATCTGCGTGGTGGCCAGGATACTAAGGGGGAGCTGGGGTGGGAGCCCTTGTGCTGGGCTCCTCGAAGACCCAGGAGCTGCATCTGG